GGTTTCGTGTCTTGGTGTTTGTAACTTAAACCCCCTAAAACCATCAAGCCCCGAAGCCCTAGAGACCTCAAGCCATAGACCCCCTATAAGCCCTAAACCGTCACCAGGCAGAACGATGCTGCAGGAGTTCGCGAAGGTTGGAACAGTCGGACCAGGATCCGCGCAAAGCACGGGGCCTTTGAGATAAATACAGTTTACGATGCAAAAATTTGGGTTTATGTGTGTATATATATATATGTATGTATGTATGTATGTATGTATGTATGTATGTATGTATACACACAACGGTTAAGGGTTCAGGGATTTATAGGGTGTGTCTGAGATCAGCGTTGTTGCAGTTCTTGTACAACATACATACATATGCATATATAGCCAGTGTAGGGACTCTGCGGGAACGTCAAAATCTAGCTACTGCGATGCTATATTCTGGGTGTCGAGGTTTGGCGTTTTTTCGGTGTTTAGTTCAAATCTGTTTGTTGTTTTTTGTTGGTCTGGGGTTGGGGGTCGAGTTTAGGGTTTTGCCCCGATATGCTCTGTCCCGTTTCTGATTTGTTTGATTACATAGACGAACTGTCACGATTGGAAAGTGAGTCTGCGTAGTGGTGAATGTTGTACATTGCCGTGCGGCACACAGCGTTGCCCCAACATCAACAAGAGCTTGGACTGGCACCTAAAGCCCCTAAACTCCGAGGACCGTCAAAACCCCAACCCCCCAACAAGAAGCTCTAGAAACCGAGGAGAAGTCTTGTACAAACCAAACACTCAAGTTTCAGTCTCATAAACTAAACCCTATCAGTCATAAACCCTACACCCTACACCCTAAGCCCTAAACCCTAAACCCTACGCCCTACACCCTAGTCAGTGAGGACGTGAGTATGGCTTGGACTACTGCAAGAAGCCCTACTACCGATCTGCTCTTTGGGCCCCTGGGCTTAGGGGGGCTTAGGCCGAGGGTTTAGGGGTTTAGGGGTTTAGGGGATTAGGGTTGGTTCTCTACGGGTTTTATTGGAGTTCTCAATCTAACCAATCCCTACACCCTAAACCCTAAACCCTGAACTAGACCCTAAACCCTAAACCGTTGAAAGATGTTGTAAAGTTTCTACAAGGTTCGAAAGGGCCGTCGTTGAGGGTTTGCAGGGACTGACCGAGTTCTGGGAGTGCAAGGGCCTTGGGGGGCCGTGGTCCTTTCAGGCTACACCCTAAACCCCTAAAGCCCTAAACCCCCTAAACCCTACTATAGGGGCCTTGATAATTGGAATAGGGTTTGGGGGTATGTTAAACTATAATTATAATGAGGAGCCCCCAAAAACCCTATTCCAATTATTAAGGCCCCTACATTAACACTCTAAACCGCTAAACCCCACAAACCTAAACCCCTAAACCCTGAACCCCTCTTGGCCGTAAGAGTCAGTTCCGATCCTACATCCCAGCACGAACCAACAACCCTCGGTCCCAAGATCCATAAGCATGTTTGTTTCGGGGCCGGGTTTGGGATTTTGGGAGTAGGGTTTAGGGTTTAGGGTTTCAGGGTTTGGGGTATAGGGTTAAGGGCTCGTACATGGGTAGTCTATGGGTCTGGAATCTCTAACTGAGCCCCTAGCTCGAATAAACACAACAACACCCCCTAAACCCCAAGCATAGTACTACCTATACTCTCCATTGTAGGCCCTTTCTTGGTTGAACCAACTCTGTATTGAGGATCCAAAAGAGGTGAGCCCAATAAGGAACAACAATGGAGACTGTAGGTAGATCATCAAAGGTAAGTAGTTCCGGTTTCATATTCGGGGCCCTACCCATAAAAAAGGCTACCACCGCCGCCAACAGGAACTGCAATGCAAGATCCAGCGTAGGAGATTATCAGGGAGGGCCCTCACTAGAGTGACAACATTTTGGCTCGGTGGCGCCCACGAGGCTTATGATATAGGAGGCCGGATTAAGTAGGAAAGGTATCCCTTTGTGTTAGCCCCGATACAGCTACGTGCAGATTTTTCTGTGACATGCCCAGTATCACCCTGAAGTCTTGAACCGGAAGCTCAACCCCTATCAACCCTAAACCCTAAACCCTAAACCGTCCTGTAACCCAAATTGTCCTATAAGCCCACGCAGAACCCCACACACCCAAATCCTGAACATTAGCTCCAAACCCCGTCTCTGTAATATAGGGGCTGAATAATAACTGTATTCGATTTCGGGGAGTTATAGGATGTTATAGTATAGTATAAGATACCATATTATAGTATAGACTGTATAGTATAAGATACTATTCTGATCTCTAAGGCCCCTATACTAAACCCTTATAGTACCGTTGTAATTAGACCTCTGGAAAGCGGAACCCTTAAAGAGGCGCTAATCATTCAGGCCCCTATACTAAGCCCTAGTACTCTTATAATAACCCCTTAAAGGAACCCTTTAAAGGAAGCCTATTCTATTTTATCAAGGCGCCTATATTCTTAAAATAACCCCTTAAAGGAACCCTTGAAAGGAAGCCTATTCTATTTTATCAAGGCGCCTATATTCTTATAATAACCCCTTAAAGGAACCCTTGAAAGGAAGCCTATTCTATTTCATCAAGGCGGCTATATTGGACCACGATCCTTCCCAGGAGGCCACCTGGAAGAATCACGAGGTTCTGGTGAAGGCTCTTGCCGAGAAGGGCTTGGGACTTGGACGGGGTTTGGGTTTAGGGCTTAGGCTTTAGGGTTTAGGGTTTAGGGTTTAGGGTTTAGGGCTAAACATAGGGATCTTAAGAATTAGAATAGGCTTCTTTGAAGTCCCGGGGACTTGGGTCAATTTTTTTTGTAGTTTGGTTTCCTTGGGGCTCCAACTAGCCCAAAGTAGGTATGTTTGTAGACTACCAGACCCCTAAACCCTAAACCCTAGACCCAATGCAAAGCAGGTGCTATTTGTATACATGGAGCCCTAGGGTTTAGGGGCTCAACATAGAGACGTTAGTGATTACAACGGGGTTAGGGTTGTAAAAGGCTTGGGCAGGGATTTAAGGCTCACGAAATACGATTAAGTGGGCTTCAGTTTTCGTTCATTAAGTTTAGGCGTAGGGCGCGGCGTCGGGTTCAGGGCTTTGCTATTTCCTGGGTTTTTTTACTTTAACCATACTATCATATGGCCCAAAAACCTTTCAATTTGTTTTAAATTCAGGCCCGCGTATGACATTTATCTGGATACCCTGTTGTGTTCCGAAGACCCATGCAAACCCCAACCTTAAACCCAGCCCTAAACCCTGAGAGCCCTGAACACCAACCCTGGCCCCTAAACGTCTTATATGCAAACCCTAGCAGTCCCTTACCCTACACCCAAGCATTTTCTCTATCCTAAACTCTCAAAGTCCTCTAATCTAAACTCGAAACGTCCTTTACCCTGAACCCTCCATCAGACCCTACATCCCTGCAGTTCTGGCGCCATATACCCCCATTTAAGGGCAAGGGTCCTGGTACCCTGAACCCTAGACCCTAAACTACTATAGGAGTTCAGGGTTCAGGGTTGACGGTATAAGCCCCAAAAGTCCTCTGACTCAAGCTCCTAAATTAGGGTTTAGGGTTTAGGGCCCAGAAGACATCTCACCTAAAACCCTTAGCCCTCCCTGAACCCTGTTTAGTTTTAGAAGACGTCCCAGAAGTCTGCCCGAGGTGCCACCATCGACTTCGCTGACTACCAGGGCCGAACACCGCTTCACGAGGTTCGCAGTCCGTTTTTTTGGGGTTTAGGTTTCTGAGTTCAGGGTTGGGGTTTAGGGTTATAGAGTTCATTATAGGGTTTAGGGTTTTGAGTTGAGAGTTTAGGATTTAGGGCAATGTGGTGCAAGTGTTTTGTAAGGAGTTGACAATGGCTTGATGTGGCTTTGATTTGGGTCTTAACTCAAGTTCTACAGTTGGGATTGGGTAAGCATTCTACAAGTTGTCGATGACAGCTCCAAGAACCGAAGTCAGGCGGGCACCCTCACAGTAGCCATTACAGACATGGTGCCCTGCCCCTCTTGGTATCTACAATCCCTAAACTCTAAACCCTACAAACCCTCCCTAAACCCTAAACCCCACAA